ACACTCGAGAGATGAGTGTAGTGCATGTGAATACCTTGTGTAGATAAATAGATACTGTCGTACCTACCTGTTCCGTGGGGAGATGAGCAGCGTACATGTGAATCACATATACATAAAGATGGGTTTTGTCTAGGGTTTAGGGTTTTAGGGTTTTAGTTGGGTTTGGTGGCACGTACACGTGATGCAGAGACATGCTAATCATACAGTGTCCACCGTTTGCATTATGATAAACTCTAGCTCCGTTGTGGTGACGTTGGGTTCCCATTTCCCGCGTGCTGGTGCACTGGAGTGTCCCAATTGTGTGAGCGTCTGAGCGTGCGCTGCGTTTAACCAGACACACCTTAATCCTCTCCCCTTGTTCCGTGGCGGCTTTGTCTTTGTTCACTTTCACTTTCTTGATCTTCACGGACTTCCATTGGCCGATACCTGCGCGAATATGGTGCCGCATGGGAGTACGGTATAAGATCACTCTAGGGCAGATTCATGAACTAGTTATGGATTTCTAAATGGTTGTTTTAGGGCAGATTCATGAACTAGTTATGGATTTCTAAATGGTTGCTTTAGGGTAGATTCATAAAATAGTTATGGATTTCTATTAAATTGTACACATATGCAGTCAGGTCAACTCGCTGAACACCAACGCATTGCAGATATATGACACATGTACGGCAATTGGATGCATAAACGTATACCATTGCATTTAACGGCCTAGATACAAATGTACATCCTTTGATACGTAGTACATGTGCACTGTGTAGCAAAAGAGGCGTGTAGGCTGACAAACACACATTCTGCGTACCGGTATTATCGTCTTTTATATCGGGATCTTCTTCCTTCTTCGGTTTTGGCTTGGGTTTAGGGTTGTCCGTCGCCATTTTTACGGTTTGGTCACTTGCAGCAGGCTGTGCTGTAGAAAATGATCGGCGCAGATTCGGGATTTGCGAACTATTACGATCAAGTCGAGAAATGGTTGCCATGGAAACCTTAAATAATAGATGCGATGGGAACTGTACTATATGCCAAAAATAAGGTTTGGTTTTCGGCGGTAAATACCAGTAGGACAAGCGAAGTTCTGTGGCAAATCAAATAAGGTAGGAGTGATCGTTGACAAATACCTTCTAATCTGAGAGCATACGGGGGTGTGGTAGGATGAATACTATGACCAGTCAATAGCGGTTCTGCGTTATTGTGGTTGGATAAGCGACATAATCCTAAACCCTAAACCCTAAACCACCTCAACAGGCACTCGCACGTGGCACAAACTTGCGATAAGCAAGAGGGTCATGAGCATCGACTACTTGCATAGGAAACTGGTGGGAAGAAGACGTCCCTTCAGACATACAGCCCCAACGATTATACTAATGTAACACATGCATGCATGCACGCACACAAGCACAAGCCCACATACACACACACAAACAAACACATATGCACACACACGTCAACAGGATATGTGTACACAAACGCTATACCTGCTATCTCGTTCTTGACACCAGAATCATTTGTCGCTTGTGATTCCTCCGTTACAGACACCTCATCGCCTGCTAATGGCACCCGCTCAGCGATAGTTTCCGCTAGGAACTGCTCTTCTCCCGCCTATTATATGCAAACGTGCACGTATAAAATCATCAGAACCGTAATAAAAAATATATGTACGTATATATATATATACATATATATATATATACATAGATATATATATATGTGTGTGTGTGTGTGTGTATGTACGTACGTATGATTGTATGTATGTATGTATGTATGTATGTATGTATGTATGTATGTATGTATGTATGTATGTATGTATGTATGTATGTATGTATGTATGTATGTA